AAATAAAAAAATTAAGCTATTAAGATTTATATATAGTCTATTATTTATAGACTAAGAGTTAATAACTTATTAATTTTATTTTATACTAAAGTTTCTAATAATAAAATAAATAGCTTTAATCTTATATTATGAATTTATATATTCTATAAATAAAGCCATTATATATCTAAAATTATATCTAAGCCAGAAATCTTAGAAACTATATAAAGAAAAATATAAGATTTATAGTAATTATTAATATTTGTACTAAATACTACTACTTTTTTAATTATATCTAATATTATTCTATTAAAAGCCTCTATTTATTTAGGGATAATTAATATATATTAGAGGTTATATTAATTAGTAAAGCGAGAATTAATTATTTTATATAATATATATCTAGTATTAATAAGAGTTTATATAAAATGCTTTTTATTAACTATTATTAATATAAGAATAAGAGACCTAATTATATTTTTCTGAAATTACTTCTAAGCTTACTAATTTAATTTTATTTCGATATATTTCTAATAGTAACTTTTATTAGAAGCTAATCTTTTCCTAAATTAAATAAACTCAAGTTCTTTTTATTTTTATTTTTATTTTTATTTTGGTCCGAAATATTAATATTCTTTTCTCGAATTATTTTTGCCTTTTTCGGGACTATTTTTAATATCTTTATACTTTTTGCTTTTATTTTTAGCTATTTCTTTTTTTCTTCTTTTATTTACTAGCTCGGAGAAAGTAGCTCGAATATAGCTTTATTTAATAGTTATATATAAAATAGTTATCTTAATTATATTAAAAGTAAAGTCTTTTCTTTTTCCATTAATTAATTTCGTTTCGAAAAGCCTAATTAAAAATATCTTTTAATTATTATCTTATATTACTTATAATAGGCTTTTACTTTATTAGTTAAATGAATAAAGCGGTTTTAAATAAAAAAGAGCTTTTGAGCCTCTTATTTAACTAGTTCGGATAATAGGCTTTTATATTCTTAATTTTGGCTAGCTAGTTATTAATTATTTATAACTAGAAATAATATTTCTTATATAATTCTTTTTGTTTTATTTTTATTATTTCTTTTATAAACTTAGTTATAATAATAGTTTTAAGATATCTTTTTTTAATTTTATTTTACTATTTCTATTTCTCTATTTCTAGAATTAAGTAATTAAAATTATTTAAGAATTTACCTAAAGAGATCGATTTTTACTAAATTCGATTTAATTTCTCTAAGACCTTTTATTATTTTTACAGGTTATAAAAGGCCAGATTTATTTATTTAAATAGTTTTTTAATTATAAACTTCTCTTTTTTTTTTGGGTATATTTTAGCTTATTACTTCTCTAAATAAATATTCGAACTCGTACTAAATCCTTTTTTTCTTTTTACTAATTACTATTATGATTTCCAGATACCCGGTATCTGAGATACCTGACTAGCTAGATATATATAATGCGGCCGCCTTATTAGGGAAGTATACTTGAAATATACTAGAGATATTTAGAAGGCTAAGTTTCTTTAAAACTAGTATATTATAGGATATATATACTTTCTCGCAGCCTCTTATATTCTAGTTTTCTTTTTTTTTTAGCTTTAAATCGTCTTTATAAAAGACCTTTTATCTTGCTTTTTAAGCCCTAAATACTATACTCGTAATAATTACCTCTTTATTAATTTTTAGCTTTACTTATAAAAGTTCTTTAAACTAGAAATATAGGGCCAAGTTATTTCTATTAAACTTATTAGAATTCGAGAAGCAGGCTTTTAATTACCTTATAAAAGGAAATTAAAGAAATATATAAAATAAAGAAAATATTTATATTTATAAGGGATTTGAAATTATTATATATTTATTAATTAATTTAATTTATATAGCCAGGTTTACTATTAAGTTCGCTTACTATATTACTAGCTCTAATAGCTATTAGAACTATATTATAAAGGCTTTCTATAGCTATTAGGGAATTTTATTTACTATTTTGGTTTTATATAGCTATTTATTTATTTAATTAATTACTAGAAGTCTTGTTTCTAAATCTTTATATAATAGAGAAATCCGGTAGTTTTCTTTTCTTAAGCCGGGCTTAGGAAAACCCAAATAATTACTAGTATTAACTAGTTAAATTAATACTCTAGCTTCTATATATAGTTTCGAATACTTTCTATTACTAGCTTTTATATACTTTAAAGTCTTATTAAGGGATTAGCTTTATAAGTAATTTCTAATAAAGTTTATTTCTAGCTTTATTTATTTTAAGCTTTGGTTTCTATATATAAGTTCAGGTATTTCTTACTTTTAGCTTTATATATATATAATCTCTAATTAGTAAAGATAGAAGAGAGAGAATTCTAATATTACGAGCCAGGCCTTTATATAAAGAAAACTAGTAGTTTAATTAACTAAATAGAATTCTTTAAAAAAAAACCCCTCGAAAAAAGTAGAACTATATTCTTTAAGATATTCGAGCTTTTTAAGTAATATATAATTGCTTTATTAACTTAAAAAGGCATATTATATAATAAAGGCCAGGGCTTTTATTATATAATCTAGTATAGGCTTCTAGCCAAATATATAAATCGGGTTTTAACCTATTATAATATTTAATATTAAAATAAAATAAAGTAATATTAGAATTCTATTACGGGTTCTACTTATTTATTTTACTATTCTTACTCTTATATATATATATAATCTAGTACTCTCAAACTCATTATATAAATTAAGATCTTAATTTATATAATTAGTATATTAATTAATTGAATTAATTTAGCTAGTTCTGTTTCAAAAGATAATAGACTAAAGAATTCGCTTAAGGATAAGCTATACTATTATAATAGGGATATAAAACACGGAGTAATATAGATAGTAGAATGGGCTTCCACAGCGTGGGATCACAGCGTACGAGTGAGACGTGAAATTAGAGAGTGAAGGTTGGTTTGTTGGTTTGTTCTAAGAACTAAGAAGGAGAGCGGGGAATATATATGAAACCGGACGTACGGACGTCCGGAGGTCACCTGACCGCGCCACGTGACCAATAGGGGTAAAATCCCCACTACACTATTTAGAAGCCACATTCATCTAATACTATACCTGTTATATTTGGCCTAAGGCCTTAATTTTTTCAAAAACCAGTAAGTATAGCTAAAGTATTATTCTTGAAGTATATAGACTGACTAATTCTTTTATACGGAATTTACTTCCCTTTAAGTAAAGAAAATCCACTATTATAATTTTAGTTACTTACTATTATATAATAGTATTATAGGTTAAAGCTTCAAAGATATTAATTAGATAGAGACAAATTATTAGGGTAAAGAACTGAGTTATAAAACAAGTAATAATTAAAATATAATTAATAAACGTTTACATGAGCTCTCGCGAAATTAAATACCTATATTAAAATGAACGTGTGTTTAAACGAGGTCTAGTAAGTGCGAAATCTTTTACTATTTTATTGCATTGAGATATTCGTAATTTTGTCGAAGTTCCTGTTGTACTACAGGATTTTCGCTTCGCAGGGATGTCGTTTAGTTACGAGCCTGCTGACAAAAGTCCGTGTTTTTAGCGATGTTTTCAGGCATTACAAACCCAAAGTCGCCCACTTCACTTCGCAGTTTCTTCACAACTACAGACTAAAACCTCGTATAATTTAAGCGCACATAATAAAAAAGGATAGATTGAGTTTAGAAGGCCTTTAAACCCAATTCTGAATATAAAATGAAAGCGTCCAAAATAGTTATGGGGCTCGTTTCTTAGCGAAATGCCCTAAAAACACGGACTTTTGTCTGCAGGCTCGTTAGCATCGTCGCTCTGCTCAGGCGCTACTCACCCTCGCCTCACCCTCTGCTCAGGTTACTCAGTCACGTTTCTACTCTCGCTTCTCGTAACCAATCATAACCTGCTTACCGTTCGGTTCTGCCATACCAAATTTGTCAACTCTACACGACTATGTTCAGGGGGACGAAGTCGGCTCCCAGGGAACTCAAGCAGGATCCCCTAAAAGTACGTAAGACCTGAATCGGTCCCCTTAAAAGCGGTGGGGAGCCAAATACGAACCCCTTTAGGCTATATATAGAAGGGGCCGGATTTTGAATCCCGAAGTAACTTCGTAAGGCCCTTGGCGCTACAGCTGTGTGTGCATCTTAGTTTATAAAAATCGAACTTCAAAGGATCGTCTTACTGCCATTCTACGCCTGAAATCTCAATCACGACGATATAAAACACCCGAGCCCATTCTAACTTGTAAGAGAGATAGCCTTAGCTATGTGGCATTCCCACTTCCGCTAAAACAGTAACCACCAGCTGATAGGCGGTTGTTTCGCCACGTCATTCTCCCAGGCATCAACGCCACCGGCAGCGATATATTTTAATCCTTCCCCGCGCACCATTCCACTACATCATTCCACTCATCGTACGCAGAATTGCCTATTATAAGGGCATAAGTACCTCACACCTTTGATTTTCGAGTGTTCAAACTGCGCCTTACATCGCCCATCCCAGCCGTCACGCCTCGTAAGCAATAGCTGCAGCAAACTCTTGTTTATTCATCGACGCCAAAAGTTGACCTTTGGTGAAACTGCTTCGTGCGATGGAGGACAGCCAACGAGAGTGAGCCAGAGCAGGTTGCATGTAGCCTAGAGACCCCCTAATTAGCTAGTTTCTCGTGAGAATCCTAAGTTTATCCCATTTGGGAACCTTTATTGACATCACGGTGCTTCATAGACGCAAAGTTATCACAAACGTCACGCGAGGGACGAAAATCAAAAGCAATTCGCATTATCTAAGAACCAAGGATAACGTGCCTAAGAGTCTTCAGGCCCTGTCCTCATCTGAGCCAGGGCTGAGATTCTAGGCCCCCACCTTGCTCGGCGGGGCCACGATTTATTATCGACTTCATAACCACAAATGATCTGCCCGTTTTGCCCTACCTCTAGAGGACGTAAATCCAGAAGATCCATCCGAGATCCAGATGGCGGCATACCAGTACGACCCCGTTCGTAGCACTAACGACGAAATCCGACTACTCAAGCTGCATCCTGGACAGCGCGAGTCCCCAATCCATGTCACCTTGAAAACCGTCCCGCTCAAGTCATCCTCCATTCCAAAATATGAAGCATTGTCTTACGCATGGGGCTCAACCTATGACCGTAAACAAATCTTCATAAATAAAGACACCCTGGCAGTCACCCAGAGTCTTGCCACACTCTTGCCTTACCTGCGCTACCCCGACCAGGAACGCACATTATGGATCGACGCTATCTGCATCAATCAGGAGGACATGGCTGAGCGTAGCGCTCAAGTAGCCCGCATGGCAGACATCTACTCCCTTGCTGCGCAAGTCATTGTCTGGCTCGGGCCAAAATCCGAAGACAGCAATATTGCACTCGAACAACTGCGAACAATTAACTCGAAGATACACTTCGACAGTATCCTTCAGACCATCACTGCAGCTTCCCCGGAAGATGTAGGATGGACAACTAGCAATGTTCACTTCTTACTCTCCCATCAATCCTTGACTGCGATTTCTGCACTTCTACAACGATCCTGGTTTGAGCGGCTGTGGGTCGTGCAAGAAATCGGTCTCGCACCTAAGCATCACACATGGATATTCTGTGGATCTGAAAATATCCCTTGGGATGACTTCTACGCTGCCACTAGTTACCTGCGCTTAACAGGCGCTTTTCCTCCAGACAGCCCGCTGGGCATCCGCCTTGAGCTCATTCGTTGTCTTGGATATTTGATATCTACGTATTCATCTCTTCGTGGGACTTTGCATCGGACTGAGTATAGCAAGTGTTCTGATCCGCGGGATCGAATTTATGCTATATTGAGTATTTCAAATAAAGAGGTGAAGATTACGCCAGACTATAACAAGTCTAAAAGAGAGGTATATCAGGATGTAGTAATGCAGAATTTGTTACAGAGTGGGATGTTGAGATTGTTGACTGCATGTGAGTTGTCGAATGATACAGAAAGCGAATTACCGAGCTGGGTGCGAGATTGGGAGAGGAAGAATATGTGTAAATGGTTTCTACATCTGAACGCTTGTGGGGAAGGATATGCGGACGCAAGGCTGGTGGAAGATGGAGTTCTAGAGGCTGTCGGTGTTACTTGCGCTGATGTGCAGGATACAGCTGACTTGAGAATCGAAGGCGCTGGGGATGAGAATGCTACAAGAAGGATGCTACGAAAGCTAGTGCCTGAGAATACTGAAAACGACAGATATGTTGGAGGAGGCGATGTGCTCTCTGCTTACGTACGGACAGTTTGTGCTGGAGAATATTCGGACATGGCTCTGCCTAGGAGAGAGGAACAGTTGCATTTTGAGGAGTGCAGACATGTCATGAAAGCTCTTTTAGCCGGCGAGGGTCATGGAATGCCTGATTTGGAGCCCAGGTTTTTGAGACTGGTGAGATCCTACGCCAAGAACCGATGCTTGTTCAAGACGAAGAACGGTTATATTGGTCTAGCTCCTAGCACTGTACAAGAAGGTGATAAAGTGTGCGTTCTTTTAGGATGTACTTCACCTTTGATACTCCGGCCTAAGATCAGCGACCCAGGTGCAAAGCAATCGTTTGCAATCGTGGGTGAATGCTATATTCTAGGTATGGTTAGTAGTGAGGCAATACTTGGCCCTTTCGAAGATGGCTGGTGCCGGGGCTATAAATACAACAGGGGAACAGGCGAATGGTGGGATGTATACCTGAATAAAAGGACGGGACATATTCAGATCGAAGACCCGAGGCTAGGAAAGCTCCCAGAGGGTTGGATAAGGAAGAGTCACGACAAAGATTATGCTTGGCATTGGTATGTCAGGGTTGATGAACAAGACCAGGTTGAAGAAATGTCACAAAACAAGTGGCGTGAGGACCCAAGGATGAAAACGGAGGCCTTGAAGGAAAGAGGGGTAGGTTTGAAGGTATTTAGGCTGGTTTGATGTCTACATCGCAACAGTTATTTGGCTGTTGCACTAATACTTCCTCACTTACGATTGCTTATGTTTTAGGACTAGTCATACTTGATTCTGAATCCACGAATAAAACTTGAAGATTTCCTTATATCCCGATGTTTTCATGAGCACCTAGATGCCAATAAAGATAAAGACCCTGTGTACGAATTGGGTGGCAACAAGAATATAGTGTCCATATTTCTCGATGGGTGGGAGTCCAGTGCCATCCAGAACCTGGGACTCGCTTTAAAGCATTTCATTCGAAATCAGAGGAAAGAGTTATTTGGGTGTCAAAACGGATCCCCATCTGTAATGCTCAGGATGTTCAGGCAAGACCCAGGAACACTCACCCTTGGGTCAGGTTAGAGTAGCGACTGCTCAGGTCCAAAGACAGAAATGGACTTTGGTAGGCTCACCTGTCGTCTGAGATTATGACGGAAAGACCACCATAGAATTGAGGAATTGGACGCCAGGGAGGAGGTGGCCCACCGAAGCTCCTGCAAAGTTGAGGCTCGGTTCCAGGCCGAATCATCTAACGAAGTGGAATTCCCACAATGCGACCTGGGTTAGTAATTACAAACCGAGGGCACTTTCTCTCGAAATCGTGCTTTAGAACTTTCCGAATCTTATACTTTGTATATTGGTATTCTGGATACTTTTAAGCAAGCCATTTATAAATTTCAGCTATACTTATTTGTAATATCTGTGTATTTAATAGATACGTGGCGATTAAATAGACTCTATATCTTGCTTCTACCGGTAATATTCTAGTAGCTTATATGCCTTAATATAATTGCAACAAACTTTAAGAGGTAATAGAATCTATTCTTGATTTATACTCTTAAGGTACAAGAAATATAGCCGAATAAAATAATATTAATATTACAGTTATTATAATATATAATACTAGTAGGAGTTAGACTAGAACTAGCTAGGTATATAAAGTCGAAGTCGGGACACTCAGATACCTAGTATGGCATCTGAGTATCTGGTATCTATAGTCACCTGACGGTTATATAAAAGGTTACGTATTACGAGCTTAAGCTAGTATATGGGCCCGTATATAGCTTGCGATTATTTAGATCCGAGGCTTCTTTGAGATCCTTTTCTTTTATTAGCTTTAAATTATTGGAATAGAGATAGTCTAATTCTGTTTTCTAGGCTCTAGATCTTATACTTATAATATAATTCAAAGCTTATTTATTTAATCCTATAGAGGATTTAAATAATACCTATCTAATCGGTTTTTAATAAGTATAGATATAATATACTATAGCTATTCCTATACCAGTTAACTAATATTAGAATAAAAGAAAGCCCTAAACTAGCCAGGTAAGTAGATAGGCTAGTAATCTTATTACTAAAGAAGATATAAGAAAGCAAGTCCCGGAATAACTAGGTAAGTTAGAAAAAGCTATAATATGAGATATTACTAGTATATTACTAAAAGTAAACTAGAGCCTCTTATTAAGTTTCTTAAGGAGTTCGAGTATTCCGTTAATATTTATAATAAGAGAGATATTCTCTTTTAGAAAATAGAAGAAGAAAAGGAACCTGCCTTATTAAAAGCAGAGTTCCAAGAATTATTCCGGAATCCCGAAGTTTTATATAAAGAAATTATTAAGCTAATTCTAAAAACATATAATATTTTTGTCTATAGTAAGAATTATTATAATTAGCTAAAAGAAACTAAGTAACTCCTATAAAAGAATAAAGCCATTATTAAAAAGCTTATTATATAGCCTGCTAGAATAACTAGTTCTCCTATTTTAGAAAGTAAATACTTAGTTATTATAATTCCCAGATATCCGGTATCTAAGATACCTGGCCAGATGCCAGATATCTCCTAAACGCACGTGATGCGGCCGCCTTACTAGGGAAGTATATTTGGAATATACTAGAGATATTTAGAAAGCTAAGCCTTTTCGGAACTAGTATACTATAGAATATATATATTTCCTTATAGCCTTCTATATTCTAGTTTTCTCTTTCTTAGCTTTAAATCGTTTTTATAAAAGATCTTTTATTTTACTTTCTAAGCCCTAAATACTATATTTATAATAAATAGTATTTAGCTTATAAATAAGTTATTAAGTAAAAACCGAAAGTTATTAGAGCTAGAAAAGTTATGAAATAAGATAAGAAATAAGAAAGAAAATACTTGAATATTATAAAACAGTCTTTTCTTCTCTATATTATCCTATATTCAGGCTACCCTAAGCGGTTGGCTCTCGGGGCTCTTTAAAAAAAACGGGTCACGTGTGGAATACCAGAATCTCCCTCTTCTAGGGAATCACATATTGGAATGCGATTCTGTCCAAATCCTTAGGGCTAAGCTTGGGATTATAGAGGAAATACTCAAATATCTTTCTCTTTATTTTAGTAGTTCTAGAATATAAGAGGCTTTTCTTATGATTTTTTAAAGCTTAGGGGGAAAATCTTAAGCTAGGAGTCCCGTATAAAGTACAAAAAAAAAATTCTGACCTTATATTACTTTTCTTTCCTTCTTCTCTTTATTACTATAGACCCTCTCCGCTTTTATACTTCCTATAAGCAGAACCGGCCTGCTTCTGACTTTATTATAAAGCAGGCTAAGCCATATAAGACTTACTATTACTATTAAATTTATATCCTCTCTCTTTTCTGGCTTAATTAACTAGTTAATAGGCCCGAAATACTACTAATTATAGCCAGTAGCGCCCTGTCTTATAAGAACTTAATCCAAATACCCTTTTTCTCTTCCGGTAATAATAATAGCCAATTACGGATATCTCTATAGACGAGCTAGCCCTATAGTACTAGTAACGGATCCGTTAACCGTCTATTATAGCCCCTGTTTATATTATAAAGGATTCTTCTGCCGACCTACCTACTATATGGCCTCCTGCTTTCCTCTCCCGCTTCCGGCCAGCTCCCGTATATATAACCGGTCCGCTTACGGATTATTATATAGCCTATAAAGCCCTCTATTTTAGCTATATAAATAATTGCTTTGAGGCCTATTATAAGAAAAGTAATATAATATTTCCTCTAATCTATAAGCCTCCTTTATATCTCTCTTACTTCTTTATAGGTAATAACCTGCTTTACTAGGCTTTCCGGATAAATATCCGGATATATAACTATATTTTTGCCTTTATATTAATTAGCTATAAGAAAAATACCCGGATTAACTTCTCTTATAGAATCTAGTACTTTTAGATTTATAATAAGCTTTTCTATTTCTAGGGCCTGCTTTAGCCCGCTATATACTAAATTCTCCTTTATATAGCTTTTCTTTTATAATCTGCTCTTTATAACTAATATATAGGCTACTAACTTCCCTTATTTAAATTATATAATTCTTTTATAGCTTATGAATATACTTACGGATTATAATCTATTTATTATAGTTTATAAAATAGTCTATAAGTATCTTATAAGCTAGTAAACCGATTTCCGGATCTTACTTAACTTATAAATATATTTAGTTCTCAAGTCAGATACGGATTATTATTATAAGAACCTTCCTATAAATAATAAGGTTATTATCCTTATTTCGGACAAGTATATAAATATAAGCTACTATAATCTAGTACTAATAATTTATAAGGCAGGCTATAAGTATTTATAAATATATATAATTAATATTATATATATAATATATATACTACTTTATTATATTTTATTTTTCCTATATAGTAACCCGGGCTAGTATTATAAGTTATAGTTATAGGACTATACCGGAACTCGCTAGTAGATATAGCTCGAGTAGTAGGCCTTTTACTAGTACTACTTCTATATTTATCTAGTCTTTTCCTTATTCTTTTATACTAGCTACCTTTTCTAATAATATATTATTAATATATATATTACCTATAAGATTACCTTACTTGACTAGCTTTGCTTATACTAGTAGAATATTCATATAAATATTTATATAGAACTTATAAATACTCTAATTTATAAGAATATTTATATAAGTAATATTAGCTATTACTTTATCTTCTTATCTAGCTTTATAGGTAGTAATTACTTTATATAATAGCTCTTTTAAGACTTAATAGCTATTATATAGTACTTTAGTAAACTAAGCTTCTTTATTACTTTTATAGCTAACCCGTACTAGCCTGAGATTATAGATTACTTCTTAAATAGGTAATAAGTAATTAATTATTCGGATTTCCTTTACCGGGTTTTTATTCTAAAAATAAAAGAGCTTTTTATAGACCTTAAGAACCACGTTTTCAGATAGTATATAGGCCATATCTATATAATTAAGTACTAGAAATATAGCTTCTTATATATATACCTGCTTTTATTTCTTAGGAGAAATACTATTTTCTTAATCCCTAATTTAGTTAATAAGATAGTTTATATTAAGCTTCTAGATCTGTTATAGGATCCTATAGGCGAACTTATAGCTATAGTTACTAGCCAGATATCTTACGGGCTATATAGCCTTAATAATAATCCAAAAGCCTTATATATAGTCTATAGTATACCTATAGTCCTACTTATATACTAGAAGAGATTTCCCAAGATATTTATAGCTATAATAATTATTTATAAGAATAGATATCCCGAATACTAGTACCGGAATAATAGTTATATATTTATAATTCATAAACCAGGCTTTCTAGACCAGGAAGTTATTCGTAATAATTATTAGGTTATTTCGTATAACTTATATCTCCTCTAGAAGTTCTACTTATATATTAATATTAAGGTTTATATATCTATATAAGTAATTAAATATATCTATAAGTATATCTATAAAGAGATAAATTATATAATTATAGCTATCTCAGGAATAAATAATAAGATTACCTAGTATCTCTAGGCTCGGTATATAGGCCCTATAGAGGCTTTCTAGTATCTATTTAAGTACCTAATATACTAGGAGTTTCCCCTAGTTTAATATCTTATAATCTATTTCCTTAGATAATATATAGTTTGCTTTATAGCTAATCTCTTATCTAAGCAAGTTACGAACCGGACTATAAATA